AAGATAATCAAATATTAAGCTTCTTTCACTTCTAGGATGTGAAATCCTATTGAAGGACTAGTCTTTCTTGATAAGTGATTAAATATTGATATTTAACCAATTCTAATGTTGCGGTTAGACTAGACTTTTTAGTATCACAAAGTGTTGGAAAAACCATTATGTAGATTAAGTAATTAAATTATGTAGCATATCTCTGTACATGTCCAATCATGTATTGTTACATATAAAATAAATGCAAAGGTCTGATCCAGATATGAAAGCATAGATTATTGATTTTTTTATAGAGATTGTACCAGTTCATTCCTTGGAAATGACAGAAGTGTAGGTATAGTTCCTTTGTAAACTGATTCTTCATTTATCTGAGCATCTATACTGGGGGAAAGACAGGATTCTTATCCCCAATGGGTCCCCTAAAGAGTGGAAAATAGAATTGAAATTACATTTATGAATGCTACATGGAAATTCTAAGACAAACAAAGAGACTTTGGCTTTTTTGACTGTAAGCCTGACACACAAAACTGCTGTCAAGTTAAATTTGATTATCTTACAGAGTACATTTTTCTTCATAAATTACCAAGAGAAATTCCCAAGGAACTCTTTAAGGAAGATGCATCTCACAGAGTCTGTGATGAATATATAGAAATGGAAGATGTAATATATTCTTACCTGAAAGGAATGGATTCTGGCATTTGTTTCCAAGGAGATAGTCCTGTCTCAGCATCTGAACATCTTAAGGATATATTTATAGACTTCCTCATTTAATAAAGCTTTTTTATATAGTTAGTTACCACCGTAAGAAAAAAATTAAAATAAATCTATATTGTAAGCAGAGCTTCTTAAAGGCAGAAAATACAAATGGAAGAACTTCAGTGTGTTGATCTAATTAATTCAGGAAACACTTGCAACTAAGTGCTAAGTTGATTTCCCATGATTACCTGACTTATTTGAAATTTAATGGTGTTTACTGTTCTTCAGTCTTAAACTTTAGCCAAATTTTCAGTTTGGTGCATTACTCAATTTTTTTTTTTTTTTTTTTTTTTTTTTTTTTTTTTTTTT